GCACTGCTCCACAGTAACTTGCTTAGCGATAATTCAATGACGGTATATAAACAAAAAAAACAGGTTTATAACAATACCTTGACGATTTGAACTGGCGCGCGGAGCGTGCTGACCAATAGCGCCTGTTATCACCTGTGACGTAGCGACCAACCTGCGCAATATCATACCTTGTATTCTTTGTACCATGATACGGAGCCGTCTGCATCTGTGGTCTGCATTTCACCGACAGCCGACCGAGTCTTCCTCAGTTTATGTTGTCACGTCTTTAATATTATCAATGTTTTTTTCTTATTATACACATATATTGAGATATTAATACGAGGGGGGGGGGGTCAGAAATTTTTTTATCTCGGAAAATGTTAAAAATCTGTCAAAAATGTATAACCATGTTTTTTTACATTTCCTACGCGATAACTCCAAAACTAATCAACTTATTCACATACTCTTTTTTTTAATCGATTGAGAACACATAGGCGGTGATAGCTGAAGTAATTAAAGTTCCATAGTGAGTGTATTTTTTTTGGAAAATGGATTAAACTTCAAACATTAACTTTATTGTATCATGATTTTCGGTAAGCGAGAAACTTTTTTATTTGAAGGAATTTTTACATAGTATCTGCGTATCTGCTTTATTTCTAAAGTAAAAATATTGAAAAAGTCTTTAAAACTTGGTACAATCTTCCATTGCTAATACTTTTCTAGTTATCCTAAATGAAATTTACGAAAAGGCCGCGCGCGAGACCGCTAGGGCCTCGCCGGCCGCCCCGAGATTCTTCAATTTTATTTGGTGGCACGGCGGACGCGAAGTTCCGTAAGCCTATTTCTGATTATGTGAATTGTACCTGCAGTTTGAAATTTAGTAAACTCTGTGCGTTTTAAAGTATTTAGTTATGAACTGTTTAATTTGCAAAAAAAACTATAAACCAAAATGATAAGTTTTTTATTAAAAATCCTACTATACGAGACTTAAAAACTATCATAAATGCTGCGAAAAAAAGGCAAGATGATGTTGCTGTGAATATTAAGCCAAAAAGATGATAATATCATCTTTTTAGCTTAATAATTAATAATTATTATATTAAGCCTACCTATATTATATTAACAATTATTAATTATATTAATATATTAATAATTGTTAATTAACAAAAAGGAAACTAGTCAAATATGAGGTTTTGATATTATAATAATGTGTTTGATATGTGATAAAATAGGAAAAAATGACTAACATCCAGAGTTTATATAGTTTATTTTGTACGAAAAGCTTTCTGGATATGACGATTTATTTGCATATGATGCTAAATACCACAACGATTGTTTATATAATCCCAAACAAATCAAGACTAAATTAACAACATTTTTAATTAAGAAAGCATACTATACATTGGATGAATTTTTCACTGACTTAGATAAGCATTTTTGTAATATCTCTTCCCGCTTTTATTGTTTGTGAAAAAAATGTTGTGCTGTTTTCTTGTGTGCTTTTTTTAAATAATTATAGTTTTTGTGTTATAGATAGCATTTATAGCATATTTCACATGTACTTTAATTTCTAATTCTATGTTAAAGTTACTTTTAGTAAATTTTTATGCATTTTAATTGAAAGTAAATTTATTTATAGTAAATATTTATTTAATATTAAATCTCGGACACGCGGTGGCATTTAGAAAAATAACCGGGACGCTGTAAAAAAAACGAGCCGGACGAGGGCAATTTAACAAAATCCCAAAGACGGATTTTTCGAAAAAAAATTAATTCCCGCGCACGATTTAAACTCGGACAATAAATTTGCGTCAATGTAGGGATGGCAATGTTTCAAAAATGTATCGATGTTTTAGAAAATCATACAAAAAAATCGAAATTCAACTATGCGAAGTAAAAAAGAAACTATGATAAAAAAATAGCGTCAAAGACGGCTGAGGAATAAGAGTCAATGATAATTTTAGCTAGGTCAAGCTCTAGACGATATTTACTAAAACTAGAAAGACAAAAAAATATTGTTTCTGGAATTTTAACCCTCCGGAGGTCGCGCGCGAAATTACAGTCCGGAGGTACCTATTTCTCCCGATAAATTGAAAATCTGGAAATATCAGATGCTGCGCCGGCTTAGTATCTTCCTGTCTCTGTATAGTTTATGAGAATTGTACGTTTGCACATCGTTTAGGGTAGTTAGTATCTTTTTATAGTCACATGAGGAGTCCGCGCGCGACCGTTTGTGATACTATTTTTTCATCAATCATTTTATAATGTCGAACAAGGTATGTTATTTTATTTACAACCAAATATGTAATACTGTCATTACTGACTTTTAAAAAAATTGAAAGTGTCAAATTATCTACATTTCTTCCGAGGTTCATAGTTTCTTAGTTGTCGATTTTCGAAAGAAATCAGTACCTAGTAGTTTATTGATTTTATGGAAAGCACTGTTCATTAAAATGTTGTATCCTATGTTATAGGGCTTGTTTTTCTCTACAAGTTCCTGTCTCACAATGTACCGTTTGTGTCCAGGAAGGGTTCATAGTTTCATAGATGTCGATTTTCGAAAGAAATCAGTACCTGTATATTATTTCCTATATTTTTCATTTTGGAATGCATTATTGTAATAAGGAATTTTGGTAATTGGTTTATTTCGTTTTTAAATCAATAACATGTTTTAAAAATCATGAAATTTTGATTTTTCAATTAATTATTTCATAACTACTTGGTCACTTTTGAACCGCTATAACTTTCATAAGTTTATGTTGATTAACCAATTAGCAACCCATCAGAGCAAACTCTTTGCCTTCAATTTTCTCGAAAACCATCGCTCTGGGCGATGTACAACAAGAGTACCTTTTTGTAGGAAAAGGGTGTGTAGTTTTCAAAAAATGAACCCACGTTGCAAAAAAAAATAACCTCAAAAAAGTTATTCACGAAATAACCCCCTACCCTGGCAAAAACTACCCTTTTCGCGTTCCCAAATAGTTTTTTAGTATTACCATTTGATTTAGGGTCAAAATTTATGGCAGAGGATTTTTTTTTCGAAATTTTGTCTCGTTTTTTAAGCCTACAATTTCAAACCAACCGTTTTTTAAATTCGCCCTTTCAGTGCCCCTAACTCCCTTAATATGCATTTTCCGCCCTATACTTATAGAAACTTTTTTTACTATTTTTAGGAGTACTATCACCCCCTGATTTTTTTTACACCATTTCAATGACACCCTGTATAAGCGCAAATATGACGATTGACAGGCGTGACAGTTATCTTCTGTGGTTGTGGTTGATGTTGATGTGAGGTTATGTGATCGAAAATCTCTGGAAAACCTCGCGGAAAATGTTTGTTCTTGTCGTCAAAAATCAAAACCGTTTAGCAAAGGGACGTGATATAAAGTTTCATCAGAGAATTTACCAAAATTTCATCATTAAAGCTGATCAAAGAAGTTAAAGCTGATATTGTAGGTAAGCCAGGTGAGTTTAACACATTTAGGTTGTTAGATATATTTGAACAATTATCTTATTTCTATGATTCATATTTTAGATGCGCATGATAACACATCTGTAGATGTCCCTCCAGTGGTTGTCCAAGAAGAAAATACCAATACATAACGTTTCGGTCAGATATATCACTATTATAAAATTTTAACTGTTCACTTCATATTGGTCAGTGTAACATCTGAGAGAAACATGCTTAATTTAAAAATTAAAGACAATGCCAGTCCAAGGAGGTGTTATATTTTATAATTCACCATTGTATCCCATTTTCATTCATATTAAAAGACATCTTAAGTGCATTGTTAAAATATATCTTAAAGACATTTTACTCAAGACGTCTTAAAGATGTTACGTTTTTTAACATCAGACGTTGGTAAGATGCCTTTAATACGTCTAAAGGCGAAAATAGACGTCTTTGATGTCAGTAATGTTGAAGCAAGTTGTCTTATAGATGTCTTTAAAATGTCACTGTGCTGTCTGGGTCGGGGTGATAACTAAAGACAAGTGGATAACTATTATAATTGATTTTTTTTCATATGGCTTGCGTTTCACAACGCCCTAACAAATCATTTGGTAAGAGATGGCAATCATATATCAGTGTATTGTATGGCATAGTAGATATACGATTGAAAAAAAAACATTAAAGACGGCTGGGGAATGATAATCGATAATAATTTCGGTCAAGGTCAAACCCTAAACATCATTACCTAGCTCATACTCTTCTTTATTTTTAATCGTGCTTACTACCAGTTGGTATTAAGAGTCTATTACGCTGTACTTTCGGGTCGCTCTCAGGGGTCGGGTACAGCGAGTGTGTGGCTGAAGGAAATATATATTATATTTCAGAAATCTGCCTAAGGCTTAGCTCGATCCTGTCGAGTTAAGCCACACCCAAAATTCCAAACACACGTGCCTTGATTTAGGTTCGCAGAGTTTCAGCATTTGCCATAAAATAGCGAGCAATTTGTTACAAACCCATATAAATTATATATCGCTGTAATCACAAGACTTCAATCTATTTCAGTATTGTAACGGAATTTTAAATTATGTCTTTATTTTGGAGGAAATTTAGTCCAAACATAAGGAATATTTTGTTGATGTTTGACCATCAAAATCTTAAAAATAAAGAAGTTGTCTAAAAATGTGCTACAATACGGATATAGTATAATCATATATCTTTAATATCCTTCTTCATTTATTGTGTAAAAATACCTAGCCAGTTTTACATAACAGGTTAAATGCCGGACGCTTATTTTGCTACTTTTTCGGACTAGTGAAAGGACTCTTAAGAATTTTTGACAATCCTACAGAAAGTATAAATTAATATAAAAATAAACTGTAAATTAAAACCGTATAAAACGTAAAAATAGTAGAAATGAAGTAGAATTATACTAAGGAGTATAATGATATAAGAAAAATGTGCTAAATTTGAAAATAGATACACTGATATTTTTTTTTATTTTATATAGTTTTTCTATCCTTTCCAGGCTCATGAAATTCTATAATAAACGATTTCGTGCTAAAGACTGTACTTTAAGTTCTATATTTTTTATTCAATAAATACATAAAATAAAAATAATGTTTCAAGACTAAAAAATCTTCATTTAAAAATTGCCATCTCAACCAACCTTTCGTGACCACGCTGAGGTCGCAGTAAATATTAACTAAGGTACTTCCGGATCGATTCCCCGTCCCTTTCTAGCCATTTGATGTTTAGCTGTATCGTTTCGACTGATTGCTGAACGGTTCTTTCTGTACCGGGCGTCGAATGCTCCTGGAAGAAGCGTTCTACGTCGCGCAACTTTTCCTCGGTCGAGAAGTTCTCGGTCAGATACTTGACGAAACTGGTCAGCAGAGAACCGCTTATGAGCTCCTTGATTTTGGTCCAGTTCGTTTTGAAGAATTCCCAAGCCAGGTCCCGGCCTTTGGCGTTGAGCGACACGGCGATTATGACGAAAACTTTGTCTTGGGTGCGAACTTCATCCTGTAAAGAAATAAATGTATAATAGCGATATAATAAGACCAGAACGGCAATAAAACGGACAAGAAAGATAGTTGCAAATTTTAATCATTCTTTATTCTACATTAAGAAAAGTTGTAAACCCTATCCCATCAAAAACATAGAATGTAAAAAAATGCCGCATCACAATTTTTCCACTATAAAAAGTTGCGAGATCTTATGTAAAACCAAGTCAGTTTATTTTATTACTACAACAATTTTGTTATAAATTGTTAGTATCAATATTTGTCATCTTTATTATTGTAATAATTATAATGACTTGGCAATTGCACCATATGATGTTCTCTACTAATTAAAAAACTTTATTCTTAAGGGCACTGCAGGGAATCCCAAAAAAATCAAGATAATCCGCAAGATATTGCTCAACTTGGACATAGGCTACGGTCTAGAAACCCACCAGCTCACACTGCTGTGCACACAGATTTACTTAATAATCTACCATTTCGATTATTAAGTAAATCTTAACAGCGCCCTTAAGAATAAAGTTTTTTAATTAGTTAGAATATCATATCGTGCGTTATAATAATTATTCATTATAATTATTATAGAAATAAATATGACTAATAGTGATACTAACAATTTATAACAAAATTGTTGAATAGGTGCTTAAAGAGAAACCAAATAAAATAAACTGACCCAACTTTTTATAGTGGGAGAATTGTGTTGCGAGACTTGGCATTTTTTACATTCTATGTTTTTGATGGGATCTCATTTCTTTTTGTAGGTTATCCTCCTATTTTTTACTAGGGTAATATATCATTCAAAATAATATTAAAGAAGTTTGACTAGCAATAGTTCATCAACTTTGAATTATTGTATAAAGTCAGATAATATCAAATGAATTAATTCTAGTTTTCTAACGACTCGTGTTTCCGACTATCGTTATGACTCAAATTTCAACTTTAAAAATGTTTAATTCATGATTTTAACAATGCTTATTCAAAATTATGTTTTTGTCAATTTTATACATATTTTATTCTTTATCTTAAAATTTTATTAATTTTATCTCGAAAACTATAAGAAGTATTACAAAGAAAGTACAAATTATACATTGCTATGGAAACCACCTTTTCATTGTCATCATATTGTCATAATCCATGATACAAAGGAAACAAGGTATGATCGATAGCGGCTCCAATTTCGTTCAGTTTGCGCATATCACCTGTGACGTCATAGCCATACAAAAAAAATATCGATATTGTTCAATTGCCGTTGGACTTTCTAAATACTCGTAAAAATGACTAGAAAGTGTTTGGTGTGTGGAAGTTCTATATAAAGGTCCCCGAATTATCTTTTCATAAGAAAGTAAAGTATTCAGTTGTTCTTTTACTTATATTAAATCACATGCATAATTTCTGGTTAGATTTCCTAAGAATATTGATATTCGTACATTCGAGTGGCTAAATGTATTTTTTATACAGACCGGACCACCGTAGTAGTAACATAGGCAGAACTCGGACGAATTATAGCATATATACTCTGTTTTTTTTCTCAGGTAAGATTTCGACAGACGATGACAGAAGAAAAGCAGATGACGTCCCATACCAATCTATTTATTTTACTAAAAAAAGTTTCTAATAATTTTTAAGTTATCTATGGATGGGTTTAAATATAAATCCGTCATGCGTCGTGTCTTGTTGTTTTAACCAGTTTTATTGGTTTATTTAAAAAATGACAGATCGTATTTCAATTTTATTGGTTTGACGGAACGATGAACGACAAACGGACGCCGATGCGTATGAACTCGCCTTTAGATTTTTGTCATTTTTGACGCTTGTCAAAGTCTTGCCAAATTATTGGTTATAATTTTGTGTCAACTTTTGTTAAATACCCTGCATTTTGAAAGATGATGCATTTTGATTCGTATTATTACGTGTGTTTTGTGTCTTTTGAAGTCAAGTGGAGGAAAAATCGAGTGAAAATTAACTGTAGGCCCAGAGCACAGTTTATGGTTAATACACGCTGCCCAGGCAGAAAGTCTTATACACCAATGAAGTTGCCATCGATAAAGTTTGTATACCATTTCGTCGTAGATAAGTGCATTTCGTATATAAGGATCAAACTAAACACATACTAAAAACTGGAGTAGCTGTAAAATATCGACATCACACGATAGGTAAATAATGGATTTTAGTACTGGTGCAGAAAAATAATGTCAAAAGGTACTGGTTTAAAAAAATTAAGATTAAAGGTAATTAATCCACCTTTAAGGTATAAAATTTGGTAGGTGTTATTATTAATAAAATAGTTGTTGTATTTACCTATGTTGTTTTATTTATACCTGTGGAATATTACAAATTTGTATTTGTACATAAGTTATATTGATAAATATAATCATAAATGCGGGTAGTTTCATAAAGCTTGAAAGTAAATAATAGTTCTTTTTTATATTTTTTTGGTATGTAGTGTCTTGTTCTTGTTTGTTATGTATTAACACATACCGTTTTTATTAAATAAAATAACTCAATTACATTTTTTCAGTTTTATACAGTTTTTTTCACAATATTGTCAAGGTGTATTACTGGTTGCATAACTGCGTACTGCTGGATAGTCGCGGCTTGCATTGAGGAACCTGGCGCATTCGCCAGAAAGTAAAGAAAATTATAGAATTCTTTAGAAAAATCTAGAAACAACTGCTAGGGGGTATATAAGGCCCGCGCTTTGACAGTTGGACAAGTTTTGAAGTTTGAAGTCTAAAGTCTGAAGATAGTCTGAAGTCTGAAGTTTGAAAATACCGCGAAATACCGTTAGAGTAATAGAAGTTGCATAAGTTGTGTTGTAAATAGTATAAGTTGTGTGTACAGAGTGAAACAAATAAATTCGTTAAGTATTTTATCGTGAGTTTAAATAGTGGACCCACGGAATCCGTAACAATTGGTGTCGGAAGTGCGATTCAAGAGGATTTTAAGAAGAAATTAAGTGGATTGAAAGATTTTTAGACCGAATCAGAGTATTTTTATGGTTTGTACAAGGGAGCAAGCGAAGATAATGGAGGAAGTAAGCAAATTATTGGGCGATTTTATGGAGAATATGAGAAGAGAGAAAGCAGAAGAAAAAGACGAAGAAAAATTACGCCGTCAAGAAGAACAGGACCGGCTTGAGAAAATTTTTGAAGATTTGAAAATTCAACGACAACAAGAAAACAAGAAGAACAAGAAAGACTACGTAAAGATAAGGAAGAGGAAAAATTACAACGACAACAAGAAAAACAAGAAGAACAGGACCGGCAAGACAAAATTTTCGAAGATTTGAAAATTCAACGACAACAAGACAAACAAGAAGAACAGGACCGGCTTCAGAAAATTCTTGAAAATCAAGAAATTAGACAAGAACGGTTGGAGAAAATTGTTGAAGATTTAGAAGTGCGTCGCCAGAAAGAAAAATTAGAAGATCAAAACCGATTTAAGAAGAACTTTGAAGAACTGGAAAAAAGGCAAGACATCCACCTTCAAGAAGCCGTAGAAGATCTTGAGGAACGCCTTCAGCAGAAAATGGAAAAATTAGAGATGGATCTACAGAAGACCAAGGTACAAGTAAAGACACCTGGCGTTCATGGAACTGCGAACCTCAAGGCCCCGACCTACGATGGACAAACCACCTGGACGATGTACCACCGCCAGTTTGAAGCAGCGGCTGCTGCGAATGGATGGACTGACCAGGAGAAAGCAGCGGCACTTGTCGTCGCGCTGCGTGGCCCTGCCCTGGAACTCTTGCAAACTATTCCTGCAGCCCAACAGCAGGAATACCAAACTTTGGTCGCTGCACTGGACAGAAGATATGGCGACCAACATCGACGCCAACTTTACCAGGCCCAGATCAAGACACGCCTGCAGAGTTCCGGAGAGAGTCTGCAGGAATTTGAAGCAGACTTACGTCGGCTGGTACACCTAGCGTATCCTGAAGTACGGGAAGGATTTAGGGAGGAACTCGCTGCTCAGTGCTTTATCAGCGGACTGAGGGACAACGAATTACAGAGGGCGCTGCAAATATCCCGATTTTCTACCAGCAGCGAAGCACTGGTCAGGGCGCTGGAAATCGAAGCTGCTTTTAGCGCCATCCCTAGACCGAAGATAGGCTCGGTAACGGTTGAGGAACAGCCAAAGAGTTCCCACAGAACTTTGGAGGAGATGTGTAGAAAATTCGACAAACTATGTGAGCTACTAATAAACAAGGGAGTCAATAATAACCAGACAGAGAACCAGAGAAGATCCCAGGATATTAGGTGCTATAGATGTGGCAGGAATGGCCATATCCAACGGAATTGTCGCATCCAAATGCCATTCCGTTCATCATTAAGAGAACATCGGCATATCGGAAGATCCCAGGACATAAGTTGCTATAGATGTGGCAGGAATGGCCACATTAAACGGGATTGCCGCGTTGAAATGCGATCCCGTTTACCCTTAAGAGAACATAGGCACCAGGAAACTAATACCAACGGGCGAGTATCGGCTGAAGAAAACAGAGACCCTAGGATGTTTTCTATTAGGAGTCTAGGAAAAACCGCTGACAGTTTGGTGATCAACGGGAAGGTCAATGGTAGAAGAATTCGAATGACTGTGGATACAGGCGCTATGGTATCGTTGGTGCGGACTAACTCAGTGCAAGGATTGAAGATGATGCCTCTTAGAAAAAGAGTGTATTTACGTACAGTTACGGGGAAATGGCCGTTGTACGGGAGAGAGGCTTTCATGGAATTGGAGTTAGGGAATTTGAAGTTTCGGCATAGCGTTTAGTGGCAGACATTGAAGATGATTTTATCATGGGTATGGATGTGATCAGTCAACATGGTTTTTCGTTTGATCACCATAGAAACATCCTGAAAATCGGAAATGAGGAATTTTCTGTATCTAAAGAGAAGAGACCAGGAAATATGGAAGAAAGATCATCGAAAATTGTGATGATACCTGGTAATACCAAGAAGACTGTGTTCGGGGAAACTAGAGAAAACCGTTGGGTGCCGTGTAGGACGGGTACAAATTATCGACAACGAGCCAGATCGACGACGAGCTACTTTGGGCAAGAAAATGAAACATCGCGAAAGCACTATCAGAGTAAGGAATTTTAAACTGAGAACTGACGAACAATGGACGACGATACAGTTGAGGAAAGATCAAATGGAAGATCCAGACATCGGAGCAATACTACGGCTCAAGGAAGGTAACGGCGAGAGACCACCGTGGCAGGATATTGCGGACAGAGGGCTCGTTTTCAAAGCTCTCTGGGCTCAGTGGAATTCACTGGTGATTGAGAATGGATTGATAAAGCGCACGTGGGAAAGTGCGGATGGCAGGACAGTAACAACTCAGTTACTGGTACCAAGGAAGAAAGTCACCCAGGTATTGGAAGAAATTCACGGTGGTAAAACTGGAGCCCATCTTGGAGTAAACAAGACCTTGAGTAAGCTGAGAGACCGTTTTTACTGGGTGGATTATTGCGAAGATGTTAAGAAATGGTGTCAACGTTGTAAGATTTGCGCAGCTAGACAAAGACCAAGTACTCGATCTGGGGAAGAAATGGAACAGGATAGCGTTGGACTGTCGTTCGAAAGAATCGCTAGGAAGGAAAGATTATTGGACATTCATAAGGCCGTTAGAAGTAAGATTGCGCTAGCCAGTGACCGGATGAAAGCTCATTACGACCTCAGAGCTAATTCTACGGGATTTCAACAGGACGATAGGGTATGGTTGTATAACCCACAGCGCAAGAAAGGAAGGTCCCCAAAGTTAACTCCAGCATGGGAAGGTCCTTATACAGTCATCAAGAGGATAAATGATGTTGTGTACCGGATTCATCGCAGCCCTAGAAGTAAGATGAAAGTAGTTCATCTGGATCGATTGAAGAGATACCAGACAGGAAACCTTGATCGGGACGATCAAATTTGAGAAGGGGGCAATGTCAAGGTGTATTACTGGTTGCATAACTGCATACTGCAAAAAAATCGTGCATTGAGGAACCTGGCGCATTCGCCAGAAAGTAAAGAAAATTATAGAATTCTTTAGAAAAATCTAGAAACAACCGCCAGGGGGTATATAAGGCCCGCGCTTTGACAGTTGGACAAGTTTTGAAGTTTGAAGTTTGAAGTCTAAAGTCTGAAGATAGTCTGAAGTCTGAAGTTTGAAAATACCGCGAAATACCGTTAGAGTAATAGTAGTTGCATAAGTTGTGTTGTAAATAGTATAAGTTGTGTGTACAGAGTGAAACAAATAAATTCGTTAAGTATTTTATCGTGAGTTTAAATAGTGGACCCACGGAATCCGTAACAATATTTTGAAGTAATCACTTGTCATCTTGTCAATCAAATTTTAAATATATCCTGCTATGCGTTCCAGTTGTACCAACTTATTTCTTTGTAAAATAAAATAAACTACTTTGAAATTAAAATGACAGACACATCTATCACTGTCAAGGATCTTCTCGTTGGACAGACTATACCCGTCCGCCGGATAAAAAGCAGGCGAAAAAATGCGATAAAATAAAAATAGGTACATATGTGATAACAATGTTTCAGAATTTTTATTTATTCGTGTTTTAATAGCCAAAACGAATACATACATAGATTCTCGCGACAGCTCTCGTGTAAAATTTATTTTTTAAGTAAAATAATGGATGTTTACAAAGTTTGTGAGAAAATTCAAATTGTAAAATGGTATTTCCAAAATAGGTCTTATCGGGATATACAAACAATTTTTCCACAAACTTTTGTAAACATTCCATCTTTACCTACTATATCAAGAGTTATTAATAATTTTGAAACACATGGGTGCGTGTCCCCACAAAAACACAAAAAGCCTGATGTGTTGATTAATGAAGAACAGGAGTTAAAGCAAGTGTTCATTTGTGCTACTGCGGATCAAAATCCCACGTTTTCAAGTAATCAAATTGCTGAGGTAACAGATTCTTCACCTAGCACGGTTAAAATAGTCCTTAAAAAGAATGGATACCGATCGTATAAAATGCGCAAAACTCAAGAAATTTTCCATGATGATCAATTTCGGCGTATGGCGTTTAGTGAATCTGTAATGGAAAAAGCCAATTTAGATAAAAACTTCATTCGGTGTATAGTTCTCACGGACGAATCAAGTTTTCCTTTATCGAGTCGTCATAACCCTACACAAGTACGATATTGGTCTCGGGAAAATTTAGATACAGATATTTTGAGGTACGCACGCAATATCCTCAAAAGCTAAATGTTTGGGGTGGTTTTGTAGGGGAGCATATGATTGTCCATTTTTATAGAGGGTAACTTGGGGGGTGGTTTAATTAGTGGACATGGAACTATTTTGTGGCCCGCTAGATCACCAGATCTTACTCCCGATGATTTCTTTTTGTGGAGTTATGTAAAATCCAAAGTGTATGGTCATAATAATAGGGCTAATAATCTGGATGAGCTTCAAGTAAAAATACGAGAGGCTTTCCAAACTATTAACCCTAATATGTTAGCCAATGCCAGACGGGGATTTTACAACCGCCTAGGCTTCTGTCTAGCACAAGAAGGTGGGCTTTTTGAACGCACTTATATACACACGTTATAACTTTTTTTATTTAGAGTAATATTTTAGTTTTTTTTTTATTTTATTGATGTATTTTTTAATTTTGGAAATGAGTTTTAGGTTTAGAGAATTTAATTTATTTTAAATTTTGGCTTGTATACACACTCAAATAATAAATATTTAAGTATTTTTATTTTACATGTTACCTTAAGTGAAGGTAAACACTTAAAATGAAAATAATAAATACTCGGCACTCCTCGCGTCGTATTCCTAGTCTGTCACGACCGACCCGTCCAAGCACAACTGCAACTGCTTACTGTGACCAGTGACCAGCCAACTAGATACGAGGCGCTTCTGCGCTTCAGCCGGCAGTGAATCTCGAGTACGAACGTAAACGGGTAAACGCAAATTCGTCCGACAACCTGCTATGTTACTAGTAGCCTGGTCTTCTCTATATAATTTAACTTTTGTGACAGTTGGTTGTTCAGTTTGTAAACATTCAATTTATTGTTCAAATAAATGAATTTTACAAATTAAATTTTTAAAATTAATGTTCAAATTTGGCGCGTGGACGATAGGTACTCGACAAGGATAGATAAAGTAGAAGCACCGCGTGTGCATCAAAAAAAGAAGATAAATGGAAGTTGTTATGTTTGCAACAGTTTCCATAGTGATTGACGATTTACTTATCCACGTAAGAATATGATCTAGGGCTCTGAATAAAGAAAACACACATGAAATAATTTTGACAGGATTTTACACGCAAATACACCTCTGTGCGACCGTGAATTGTTACATTTATTTCACGGTGAAAATATCGCAGGTCCATTGGGTGGTCAATTTGTCCAACTCTAGTTTGTAACAGTGGGACTTTTTGTATACTATTCTGGCATACTCCGATTCACGAAAACGAAAGATTGCCAGAATACCTTAATTTGTCAAAGACGGTGCAAAATCAATTTTTAAATGTATTTTTTAGAGAGAAAACGTTCTATTATTTTAGGATAGGATTTAAACCGTATTACCAACTGCATGTGAAAAAATTAAAAGGCTACTTAAATAGAAAAATGGTCATGCAAATCATTATGTCGTATCAACTAACATTGAACGTTTCGATAATCTTTAAAACTAAATTCAAAGCGAATTTTTAATGTCATTAAAAACAATTTCAAATCGAATTAAAAACAACTTACCGACATGGCAAACTCCAAAACTTTCTTTAATAATTCCACATCGTTAACCGATCCTAATGACCGACTTATTCTATCCTTTTCTTCGTGTAGATCAGTTGCTCGGTATAGTTTCAAAAGAGTATCAAATTCCTGTTGTCCTCCTGCGTGAAGAACAGCTTTATAGCAAGCAGTTCTCAAGTCAGCAGGCAAAACCTGAAAAGACTCAGAATTACTCACCAATAATAATTAGTTTTTTTAATGGATTATACCTCTTTTCCTTCTACATGCTTATCTAATCTTGTTCTGGCCTCTTCAATAGTTTTAGGATCATTTAGCAATGCCATTCGGCACAAAATTAAACTTCTCAGTAGAGTGTCGAGATGAGTTTCGCCAGATTTACTCTTCCAGCCCAAGCGATTATAAACGTTGCTTAACAATTCCTTTTGGTACTATAAAAAACAACAGTCATTTAGTAAACAAATCTTCTAGTTTAAAATCTGATTTAATTAGACCAACCCCATTACTATAGAAAAAAAAATCAAAAGATATCAGTCTTTTACAATCGAAAGTTTAATATATTTAATTATTTCGTCCAATCAATGAAGAACTAATCTATTGTCCTTTCCGATATTGAGATTATACTACCTAATATACGGGGTATCCCAATATTCTGTGAATATAGAACTGCTACTTATTTTTGGAATTAAAATAAGCTCATTAGACAAACAGCGGTAGTGCCATTCACCAGAAAACAAAGTCTGAAAAACTTGAAAAGAACCCATCTAGATGGAAAGGAACTGCTGCCATCACAGGAAGTCCAATATATCAGAACAACCCTGGACAGTAAACTTCTTTGAAATAGACATATTAAGAACATTACCAGCAAAGCCACAGAGCCTCTCATGATATGCAGAAGACTGGCGGGAAAGAGATGGGGCTGCGCCCCTAACATTTTGCGTTGGATGTATACCATGATAGTAAGACCCATGGTTACCTATGGAGCAGTTGCTTGGTACACCAAAACAGAGCAACGTACAGCAAGGCAAGACCTGTGTAAAGTACATAGACTGGCATGCATCTGCATCACAGGTGCTATATGAGAACATGATTAACAGCAGCAATAGAGATCATCCTAGACCTAACTCCACTGCACATTGTCGTCGGTAGTTATGCCAATTCCACTCCTTCAACTCCCAGTAGATGACAAACCAAGAATTTACAACTTTGAGAAACACCTCACTGTATAATTGAGCAATAAGGATTGAAAGACAGAAACGTTTGCTCAGCACGTAAAAAAACATACTATCAGGTGGTATACTGATGCTTCCAAAACCAAAGCAGGAACAGGGATAGGAGCATTTAGGCCAAAAACTAAATGTTCTGAACCAATAGGCACCTACACCAGCATCCTTCAGACAGAAGTTTACGCTATCGAAAGCTGCGTACAATTTATTTTAGATAGAAACTAATGAAAACAGGAAATAGCCATCTTATCCGATAGTCAAGCAGCACTAAACGCGATCAACTCAGGTACCATCAATTCGTAGTTGATGAACAAATTAGGCAAAGAAAATAAGTCATCCTACTTTGGGTGCCCGCTCACCAAAGGATATCTTCTTCAAATGCCTATCCATTCACTGGATGTTAGCGACCACATGTTGAAACCTGTCTCTATCTCTTGCGGTGTTTATGAGCTCTCCTATAGTCTTCAGACCGGTCCACTGTCTGATGTTTCTCGCCCATGACAGCTGTTTTCTACCTATTCCCCTCTTGCCTTCTATTTTTCCTTCAAGTATGAGCTGCAGAATGTTGTATTTTTCATTTCGAACTATGTGTCCTAAGTAGGAGGTCTTCCGTTTTTTAATTATATTTAATAGTTCTCTCTCCTTCTGCATCATATTGAGTACTTCTTCATTAGTTATCCTATCGGTCCACGATATTTTCAAGAGAGGCCTGTATGTCCACATCTCAAAGGCTTCTAATTTATTTATAGTATTAGTTTTCATGGTCCACGCTTCCACCCCATAGAGCAGGACGGACCATACGTAGCACTTTGCATATCGTAGATGCAGCTGCAGTTGGATGTCTCTGCAGTTTAGTACGTTTTTGAACTTAAGAAATGCTGCGCGCGCTTTTTCTATTCTTGTTCTAATTTCTCGCTCAGGGTTCCATTCCGCATGCAGCCAACAGTACACATGTCTAGTAACTCATTCATATTGTTTGCTAGCAACACGGAGTCATCTGCGTATCTTAGGTTTAATATTGGGATTCCATTAACCTTTATTCCCTGCTCCGAGTCCTCAAAAGCCTCACTGAATATCTCCTCCGAGTACATATTGAATAAAAGTGGAGAGAGTACACAACCTTGTCTTACTCCCCTACGTATACGGATATCCTCAGATCTGAAGCTTTGTGTCTTTACATGTGCTCTTTGATACCAATATAAATTTTCGATGCATCTGATGTCCTCATCCACGTCTGTTTTCCGTAATATCTCAATGAGTTTACCGTGGCGCACTCGATCAAACGCTTTTTCATAATCAATGAAACACATGAACATATCTTTCTTAACGTCTAGGCAGTTTTGTACCAGCACTTGTATGCTGAACAGCGCTTCTCTGGTGCCCATTCCAGCTCTAAACCCAAAGTGATTTTCGCTTACATTACGCTCGCATTTTTTGTATATTCTATTGTGTAATATTTTCAAGAATATCTTGAGCGTGTGAGTCATTAGACTTATTAGTCTGTGGTCATTGCTGTGGCGTGCATTGCCTTTCTTAGGAAGTGGGATAAAGGTCGAACTCAGCCAGCTTTCAGGAATTTGCCCCGTGTCATAGATATGATTGAATACTCTTTGTAGGAGGGAAATGCTTTCATCGTCCAATAATTTCAGTATTTCCGTTGGTATGCCATGCCGTCTGGACCTGGCGCCTTGTTGTTCTTAGCTAATTTAATTGCTCTCTTTATTTCTTCGTTAGTTATGGATGGGCCTGATAGTATCGAATCTGTTGGATATTCTTTTAGATCCTCCCGAAAGTCGTCTGCAAATAGTTTGTTAATGTAGTCAGTCCACACTTGCTTCCTGCTTTCCTCCTCTACTATGATTTTATTTTTTTCATTGACTAGATTTGCCGTTTTACCTGAGGCTTCATACCAAGGGATATAAGGCAATGAAAAAGCAAACGATCTAGGAGCGAACACTTCACTAACTGGACCAGAACCGTTCTGCTCTCCAAGTTTCAACTGAAAAACCTGGAGGACTCATCCGTAATCTGGAATGGGAATCCTCCCACGGTCTAGACATTCGAAAAAGTTCCTCAGAATTTACGACCAAGAAAAATCAAAGATTTTTTCCCCCTTGATTTAAGTAAGAACAATATTCGGATTGTCACGGGGTTTCTAACAGGACACTGTCTCCTCGACGAACACCTCAGTAGGATGAAGCTGAGAAACAACGATGAATGCAGATTCTGTGGGAAAATGGGGAAACACCAGAACACCTTATCACTGAGTGCGCCGAGACAACAACCGTTCGTGCCATAAAGTTTGGTACGGCTGCTGTCGAAGATGGAGAACTGGCCTCTGTGGAGCCGTCTCAGATACTGGCTTTTGTCAAAGCACTGATGAGACTGTATGATGAATTATAATCCGCTATAACAAGAAAGGGGAACACACAATTGATCTGTAAGGTCGCGGTGATTAAGCCCCCTGCTAAACATTCTACCTTCTACAAGCTCATTAGACATAATTTACCTCTAAACAAAAGTGTTTCGTTTGTCCGTTAGAGGGCATCAAACTTTAAAGAAATAAACACATTTTTTAAGAAATTTTAACAGTCGTTCCGATTTGAATGATATTTGGGGTGCCTATATTTTGCAAAGTGCTTTAACATTTGACCCTCACAAAAATCAAGAAATTCGCTAGTACCGGAAGGGTGAAAACTACCCCTACATAAAGTTTAAAAGAAATATTTTCCAACTCCACCAGGTTTTTTTTTCTCTCGTAAAATTGTCCTTCTAGTATTTACAACATTTTTTCTTGTAAGAAAACGGTACGGCTTATTTCGAAGCCGACTTAAGCCTCGGTTTCCTAAAAATCGGTACCGCTAAAAAAATCGTATTTTAAATTTCAATGTAGAATGCCATCTCAAGTAACATTTTAAGTTCCTTCAGGTTATATATTCTCAAGGTTAGTTATATAATGGTTTAATAAACGTCTCATTGGTATCTTACAGTGTTTTATTTGATTTATATAAGTGTAGCGTTGGTTACTTATCACTTATAGCCTTGTATATATATTTTTAAAGTAGATCAACCTAAGACGTTTATGGACTAAGACTACTAGATGGCAGGACCGGTTTCCCTACAGAAAAATATTTTTTGTTACTCTGAATTTTGAAGCTACCAATAAAAACAGAAAATAAAAATCGATAATTTTCGGACTGTGCCAATTGGTTACTAATCGACCAGATACTTTTTGTCTATTATATATGCTATAAAAGCTGGCAATTATACAATTCGACCATTGTAAATACCCGACAAATTCTTCAAGACCGACGAGGCCGATGCTTCTCACTGATAAGAAATAAAAATGTTTGTTTAGATAATTTTCGAGGTATTTTTTCTTTCTGAATGCATATTTTAAAGTATTTTATATTCTTTGTCCCCTTGACCTATTATCCTGGTATGGAAGTTCTGTTTCTTCTAGTTTTAAAAAATGTTCTTATTTCTTTTTTCTTTGTAGTTGTAGTGTAAAATTAGATTAATTTATTAAGTTTAATTATAGTGTTTAGTGTAGCATGTTAGTGTAGTCTACTAAAAATAGTTTAGTAGTGTTTTTATAGTTTATTTTGTAGTTAAGTAGTAGGTGAAGGGATAATTTTGTTATTTTTTCTTTTTGTTTGATAAATTAGTAAGTTTGATAATTTGTTCAGTGTAGAATACAAGAATAAGTAGTTGTGTAGTGTTTTTAAGAGATTATATTCGTTTATTTTCTAGTTGAGTAGTAGGTGAAGGGGTATTTGGGTATTTCTTCTTTTTGTTTTTCTTGTAATAATTGTAGTAGTTCTATTAAGTATTGTGATAGATACACTATATATTTTTTCAACTTCGTTGAAAAGTGCGTTATCATATAATCTTGGTTTTCTGGTAGCAGAATATACGAAAAAAAATCTGATCAAATTTATTTGAAATTAAATCAATCTAGCCTTATTAATAGGCCCATGCAATTGGTTCACCTCTTCCGATCCCTGAGTTTGCATAATTGTCATATAAATAATTTTTAACATTTTTTTCACTATGGGGGGGGGGTGGTCATAAGGAAAGTCATGTTGGAACCACCCTATTGATGCGCGACCAAACCAAACCAAACCTTCTCAACACCACTATATAACTATTATATACCCCTTTTCAGTTTTATAGCGGTAACTCGATAGGTTATATAAAGGTGTTGAGAAAGTTTTCAGGACTTTGGTTGCACACCTGGGGGTTTATAACTGTTCCTATGGTAACCAAGGGTTACCATAGGAACAGTTATAAAATCCACCGTTTAGGGCATATAAGTGTTATAATATAATGGTTACCAATAACTCACGACAACCATTCTAAATGCGTTTAGGTTGTATAATATGGTGTTGGGAAGTTTCCTAACACACTTATAAAACAAAAAATGCTTCTTGGGATGGCCAAAAAATGAAGCACTAGCGGAGAATGCACTAAGCCTGTACTTACAACAAGAATATTGGCAATTTTTGACCTGTAGAGGCATAAGCAAATGTGAATATTTATGTCTTTAATTCACTTTTTTATAGTTTTGATGATTAACAATGTATGTAGATTTTATTACAAACACGTAAAGTTCCCATAAAAGATATTTTTTTACTTACATTTTCGTAACTCTGCCTATATTCCGTTCCGCCCAACAGTTGCGATAGCCTGGCCAATATTCCGTTGATAGAAGACCAAACGTTGTAGTTCGTCTCACCCTCGAAAGCTTTCAGCAACTTCAACGCTTCCACCGTACCCGTGTGACCGGCCTTGACCATAGCGAACAAATCATTGATGAGTCCCAACCTGTCCAGAGGAGGTAAGGTTTGGTCCCTGATAGCCGGCAATAAACGCTCCAGCATTTCCGGCGGGTACCTGGTACGGTAAAAACCGATCGTTCCAGGATTGACTTTTATCCAGTCGGATTCACTTACGTCCGGTACGAACAACTCCGTCTTGGGTTCTTTCAGTACGATCGAAGCGACCTCTTTACCGGGGTTTTTGGATGTGGATATTGAAACGGGGGCCATCCAGAGGTAGTTTTCGGAAGGAGGTAAGCCGTCGCTGGTAAATTTACTCTGGGAAAGGGTAAGAGTTACACCGCCTGGGGACGGTCGGCTGTCTACTGTCACCGCTGGGAAACCTTTTTGTTTCGTCCACGTGGACATGACTTCGGCCACGGGCTTTTTGCTCGCTTCTTCCAACGCTTCCCAGAGATCTTCGGTAAACGTATTTTTGTACTGATGTTTGGTAAGGTACAGATGCATACCTTTCCTACAAAATTAAACAAGGAAAATTAACACAAATTACTGAATGGGCTATGTCAACTTTAGAAAATAGTAATTTTTTGAAATTTCACACCCTAAGGGGGTGAAATTAGGAATGGAAGATGTATCAAAATTTGTTAAAATCTGTACTAGGAATATGAACCTTAGTAAGTGACGTAAATTGAGCACTGAGAAGCGATTTTTGATAATTCGTCCTCCAAGGGTGAGCAATTAGAGGTGACGGGTTGTATATGTTACAGTAAAAGTTCGAAATCAGTGATTGTTAACAATTATTGCTAGTACTACGACAGTAAAAGTTCAACAGCTATTTTTTAAACCAACTTTTACAAGTGAATGCTAGCATTCCCTGGACGATAGCAGTGAGTTTGAAAGATTCAGTTAACGCCACATGTTGTAAAATCTATACTAATATATAAAATCCTTAAGTGGCTGACTCACTGATTAATCACGATCCTGCTCAAACCACTCACCGTAAGAAGCTCAATTTTGGCATACAGGTTGATTCTAGGGTGTAAAGGTTCGATAAGAAGGGATTTTTCGAAATTCCAGTTCCAAGGGGGTAAAACCTTCAAATTTTACAATATTTTTTATTTAAAAAACGGTCAAGTTTCCGAAAAAACACGTAATATTTTTTGTTTTTTTACATATTTTAAGATATTTAAAAATGTATACACGGTATTTCGAAAAATCTGGTCATTGATTAATCACGATTCTGCTTAAAGCCTTTGACGTAAAAGGCTGATTTTTGGAAAACGGATTGACTTTAGGGTGTAGAGGTTCAATAAGAAGGGATTTTTCGCAACTCGAATTCTAAGGGGGTGAAACCACCCCTCAAATATTAGAATATTTTTTACTTGAAAACCGGTGAGTTTTTCGGAAAAACTTTTTAACCCGTATATTTTATTTTGTTGTTTTACATATTATTTTAAGATTTTTTAAAAAATTATACAGGGTGTTTCATAAAATAATACATTGAGTAATCACGATTCTGCTTAAACTGCTTGACGTTTAAAGCTGATTTATGCCAAACGGATTGACTGTGGGGTGTAGAGGTTCGATAAGGAGGGGTTTCTCGAATCTCAATTTCCAAGAGGGTGAAAACGCCTCTCAAATATTACAATATTCGTTATTTAAAAAACGGTTAGTCTTTCGGGAAAACGCTTGGACACGCATAATTTATATTGTTTTTTTACATATTTTGAAATTTTTAAAAAAATCATACAGGGTGTTCCAAAAAGTTGGGTAATTGATTAACCACGATTCTGCTTAAACGGCTTGACCCAGAAAGCTTATTTTTAGCAAACGGATTTTTCGAAAGTCAAATTCCAACGAGATGAAACTACCCCTCAAATATTACCAAGTTATATAATAATATCGCCGTATTGTTTTTTCTCATACTGACATAAATGTGAGAAAATTTTATCCAGTTTGTATGTTAATGGAAATTCTTACCTTGCTTTATCATCACCATTACAAATGATTAATTCGACGCGAACGAAGTCGCGGGTACACGCTAGTATATGGATAAATAAGGATATGTTGAATAGGCAATATAAGGTTAACATTAAATTGGACTAAACGTTGGCAACAACAGACATCTGGCGTAAATTCGCTTTGTTTTTTGTGGTTATAACATAATAAGTATATGATATACAGTATGTCCCGGATGATTGAAAAACTTTTTTACTATTGGCATTTTGAGAAGAACGCCTTCTTAATAAAAGTTTTTGCTTGTTCTAAATGGGTAATCCCGTTTAAACTCTTCCAAATTTCCATGCCGTTTTAGAGGAAATTAATAAAAATATGAAAATATAGGTAGTTTTTTCTATAACAAAACTATTAATTATTTCTATTTTTTCTATATTCAGAATCTCGCAATTAGTGGAATAAATTAGTGGTTTCAATTACACTTTATACGTTTTTTGTTTACAATCATTCACAATGTCTAATGGTGAGTTTAGACTTGAGCACGCACGAACTGAGCGTGCGCGCACGGCATTCGTTCGCGCTCTCGGCTCCGTTCAAAATAAAAACTTATTTTTCGACGAATGAAGTGATCCACTTGTGCGCGCACAGCAGAGTTGTGTTGTCGAAAATAATGGACGACCAAGAAATAGTCGGGGCTGCAGTCATTACTATGCACAGCTTAATTATTAAAAAGAAGAAAAATCGAAAACATCGTCGCTGGTGGCAAACCCAAATTTTTAGAAATCGGTATAATTTACTGCAACAACTTAATGTCTGAAGAGGGCTATGATCAGTTCAAAAACTTTACAAGAATGACCAGGCCCGACTTTGAATATTTACAAAATTTAATAACACCAAAAATTACGAACAAAAGATACAAATTTTAATATAGTAATTTCTAGTAGTGGGAACTATCGAATGAATAATATCGAAACATTCGATAGTTGCAATTCATTCGAATAATTCGATAGTTAGTAAGAAAACATTCGTTGAAAACTATTCGAATAGAAATTATCGAATAGATCCGTCATCTGCCTTGAAATATCGTATTCTAGTAATTCGGCAGCAAAAACCATTCATTTATAAAATTCATTCATTTATGAAATTCATTTATTCGTCAGGATCGATTATAATAAAATATTAACTGAATTTTAGTTGTCGCCCGTCGACGTAGGTTTCTTTCCGAGAAACCCGACAGCGGTCGGTGGCAATGCTATGAAAGAAGCCGGCATCTTTGATTTTTTGCGGAGTCAGATAAAAATAAGGACACATTTTTTTTATTGAGGTGCTAATATTTACACAGAAAATACATTATGAAGGGCACTGTTGCCATATTTTGGTATTAGTTGATATTAGCAAAGAATATTATTGTCTGGCTTTAGTTAGTTAGGGCTGGTTAGGGATAGTATGTCTATATATTCTGCATTTTTTTTATTAATATTCTGTTGTTACACTGCAATAATACTTGTTATTTTGGATATAGGAAAATGATTTTTAATGTTTTTAAGCAAAGGCTGGTTTAATAAATAATAATAACAGTAATAATTTGTTATACCTATTAACAACAAAATTTAAAATCATTTAATATAAACATTTTTTTAAGTAGTAGCAAAATATAAACAACAAATTAGATGTCAAAATTATTTATATTATCATATTTAAAAATAATATAGTCTCTAATTTTTTTGGCAACGTTGGTTTATTAAAGAATAATAATTACAGAACTAATTTGTTATATTAACAACAAATTTAAAGTCATGAAATATAAACATTTATTAATTTTCTAAGCATGCAGTGTAATGGAAGGAAAATATAAATAAAAAAATAGAAAATTATTTATATTAGGTGCTTTATATTACTATTTAAAAATTATATATACTTTTACTGGCATTTACTTTAAAAAATAAATGAAATATTTCTTCGCAAAAAACTACATGTAAGAGAATTAGCATAAACAAAATACAAACATCGTTAACATTTTTTTTTTAAATTGGCACGTGTAAAACTTTCATTTTAATTTTCTCACCCCATAGTTTGAGTTCACCATTTACTTAACCACATTACTTAAATATGATTATTAAGTTGAACTAATTCATATTATTAAAACATCTAAAATACAAATATGTATTTATAAAATTAGTTGTAAGTTCATCTCATCTCTCTTAAAAATTGCTACTTCTCAAAATTTCCAATTAAAAAATAGACCATATACCATATAAAATTAAATAATCGAAAGATCGGACTACGGAAAACCACACAAATTTTCGGAAAAATTTTGACCACATGCACATGCACACAATCGTCAATAAATAAAATTAAAAAAAAACTACTGTTTTAGTATTTTAAATATTTTAATAAACGCAAAAATAGCACAGTATTTATACAGCGAAGTTATAAAAATTTGGGAGAACTAATAATGCACTGACGCACACAAAAATCAAACGAATACTAAATTTCATTTATCAAAAGCATTCGATAGTCGTGGTTCAACGATAACCATTTAGTCGCACGGCGAGGTTGTCACATATGCTTTAGTATAGAAATGAATGAATGATTTTATTCGAATAAAACCATTCGATAGTTGAAATCATTCATTCAGTAACCATTCGATAGTCTAATTCATTCGATAGTTCCCATCGCTAGTAATTTCATTAATATCGACATATTCAATATTAGTTTTATTTACAAGGTTTTGCCATTCGATATTTTTTTTTTGGTTTTTTAATAATACGGACTTTATTATTTATACGAATAGCACGGACCAAAAACCGACACCAGACGGCTCACGTTCGCGGCGCTCGCGCACGTACAGATTCAGAGTGAGCGTGTCTAAACGCACCATAAAAACACAATTAAAATTAATAGAATATTCTAGAAACAGCTTGCGGTAGTCAGTTGTATCAGGTTGTATTCATAGAGGGAGTCTAATATTTAGCTTATAAAACAGTAAACTTTTCATTTCTAACCACAATTTTTCTTGACGGATGATAATCAAAAGCCAAAATGACATTCCGCGCAAATTTTGAAGTATAAATAGTGGAAAAGTTAAAGGTTTGTTACCTTTTTCTACTAATTAAAAATAACTACCACTAATTTTGCCGATCTGAATGCTTACATTCAAATTAAAAGGACAAACTTCTACGCTAATTGAAGCCACTAATTTATTTCACTTACTGCGAGGTTCTGAATGAAACTTAAAAATCAAAACGCGTTTCTATGGTAATTTACTTTCGTTTTCATTCTTTGATAGTTTGTTATTGATAAAATTGTAATTAATGTCACATTTTTGCTGTTTTAAAATGTTATAGAAGCACAAAATTTATTTAGTTCAATGCTACGGAAAGGGTGATAATATTTATCGGAAAATGTGATACTTTAACAGCGAAAAATATGACGTTAATCAAAATTAATAATATCCATCTATGAAATAATGAATTCGTAATTACATTGGAAACGCTAATTGGTACCAATAAAACATTATTTATTATTAAAATATCTATGTACAATGTTAAATATGATGGGAAAAAAAGTTTACCTAAAATCTTCGTCGCCAATATAGTGATGCAACATTCTGATAACACTGGCGCCTTTGTTATAACTGATATCATCAAAAATTTCATCTATTTCACGGGGATTTCCCACTGGAACCTCTATGGGATGAGAGTTGTCCAAACTATAAAAAAACATTATGCATAAATTCTCTATAGTGTGTTTCAAAAAACATGTGCCATCTCTCGTGAGGAGATTCTTCACGTAAAAATAACGTTTATTTTTATATCAACAAACGTCCGATTCTGCTTTGATTCGTAGCTACAGGGGGTTAAAGTCGTTTTTTTCAATTTATTATAATTTTCTTCCAAGTGCTTTTAGTGATTTGAATGAAATTTTGAGAATCAAAGTTAATATAACTGCCACTTATTTTAAGCCTAAAAAATTGTCGACAGATTTAACAGTAGCGTGCATATGGGTTATCACTGGAATACTTTTCTAAAAAAATCATGACTGTCGTTGACTTTTTTCTCTTGTTAGCAAAATTGTGAAGGCCGTTAGATTTTGTCGATAGTTATTCATCACGATTATTAGTAAAATGAAAATAAAATTAATAAATTATTTATTTAATCTAATTTTTTATTCAATTTTATTAAAATTTATAACACTGATGTTCTGTGCTACCTACAGCAAATTCAAAAAGAAATAATAGTACTATTTAAGATAATAATTACAAAGGACCTATTTTTTAAAAGTTTTAACATCCATTAAATTTAAAAGTACGCATTTCCGCAACCATGTTTATAGGAACTTTTTTTCATATTTTTTGATAAGGAATCAATGAGCACTGAGCACTTATTTAGCTCTTTGGTCAGTTAATGACATTACATTTTTTCAAGTTTGCATTAGACTTGAATTAGTGATGGGATCACTCGAGTGAAAAATACTCGGTCGTCCGAGTATTCATATCCTCGGCATGTCTCGAGTATTTTTGTTGATCCTTGAGGATTACTCGGCACGCAACTAACATCGGGTGTGGCGTACCGTCCTCGCTGTCGCGACGATACAGGTGATTTTACGATTTATGCTGAAACCTTTTATACAGGGTCCGGCAATAGTGCGTCGGGCATTTGTAGCTCCTTGAATAAAAAACTTGAGAATTTTGTTTAAGTGCAAACCTAAAGTATGTATCAGGATGTATTTCAGGAAAATATTTTAACTTCTATAGGGTGGCTCAAAAAAGTGTGAGTGAACCTGGATGATTTTTTTTAAATGGAACACCCTGTATATTATTGCATTTTTGGATTCCTTTCAGATCACTTTACATAACTCTAAGATATGAATAAATATATTTCTATAGTTTCAGAGATATTAAAAAATAAATCAAAAATATATATTTTTCAGCCCTTCTTAAAAAAAATATTAAAAATACAAGAAGTGTTCTGAAATCAAAACCATATTAGGTATGTACTTTAGATGGTCTGTTCCTACTTTGCTATAAATATGGTAATCGTAAATCATACATGATGTTCATTATTCTACGCCAAACTTTCTAAAATATAAAAAATTTTTTATTTGTTGTTTTAAATGGAACACCCTGTATATTATTTTTTTATTAGATGGAGAATTAAAAAATGAATATTTTTTGTATTTAGAGTATTTCAAAATTTTTAAGGGTTTCGCAGATACACGCAGTATTATTTCATATGGCGCTTTCAATGGTAAAATACGAGAGAAAAATCATTGGGTGGCTTTGATAAAATTTACTGTGGAAAATGCCATATGAAATATAAAATTGCAAATATCTGCGAAACCGTTAAAAATTTTGAAATACTTTAAATACAAAAAATGTTCATTTTTAAATTCTCCGTCTATTGAAAAAATAATATACAGGGTGTTCCGTTAAAAAAAAAGAAGAAATATTATTTTATATTTTAGAAAGTTTGGCGTGGAATTTTGAACATCCTGTATGATTTACGGTTTTCATATTTATAGCAAAGTAAGTACAGACCATCTAAAGTAAATACCTAATGTAGTTCTGATTTCAGAACAGTTCTTGTATTTTTAATAATTTTTTTAAAAAGTGCTGAAAAATATATATTTTTGATTTATTTTTTAATATCTCTAAAACTATCGAAATATATTTAATCATATCTTAGGGTTATGTAAAGTGATCTGAAAGAAATCCAAAAATGCAATAATATACAGGGTATTCCATTTAAAAAAAATCGTCCCCATCCAGCCACACTTTTTTGAGCCACCCTATAGAAGTTAAAATATTTTCCTGGAATACATCTTGGTAAATACTTTAGGTTTGTACTTAAACAAAATTCTCAATTTTTTTATTCTAGAAGCTACAGATGCCCGACGCACTATTGCCGGACCCTGTATAGAGGACAGAGGATAACCCATATATATTCTTTATCTATGGGATAACCGTTTAATCACTTGCTCGCATATCGCTCGCAATAATAGTCGGTTTTCAGAGTAGTAACCTGGCATTTTTGAACAGAAACACATTACTTATTTTTGTTTTGTTTTGTTTAGATGTTAGATGGGATATATTAATTATAATATTTATTTAAATTATAAAGATTTTTTTTCCAGACTTTATATTTTAAAATGTATAGTTTTTTAACCATTGATATAATAATAAAATGTTTTTTCTGTGTAATAATTCAGAATTGAAACATTTGAAAATTCATAATACGTCAGTTTTCGACTTTCAAAATTCCATTTGACAAAACCACAGTTGTTTATTTGGGTTAAGGCTTTGGAGATTTTGCTTTATTTGCATTTTTAATTTTCAATTTACGTGTTTTCTTCTAAAAAACATTTGCTTGTAGTTGTACAAGGTGTCCCACTAAGAATAGCTCTCGGCTGTATCTCGGAAAGAATTAGCCGTAGCGGCTCCGGAAAAAAATATTTATAACTAAAGAGGCTATGGGAAATTGCTGGAAATTATTTTCAAGTTTGTAGAACGACCGCTAGGGGGCGCAACTGCAACAGAAAATAAGAAAATTGAGCTTTTACACAATTTTGGCTAGATAAGGTGTACTATAAGTAACAGCTTCATAATCTTCAGTAAATTTTGAATATTTCTTGTTAGAGCCATTTTCCCCTATCTACCAAAATAAAGTGGTGGGGGAAGGTTAGATCTGTTTTTATTTGAATATTAATAACTCTGGACTGGATGATCGGAATCCAACAAGCGAGGACTCGTTTAAAAGAGCGTTTCATACTCTATATTGTACCATATAAACAATAATAATAAGCTTTTGAACGTAGACGCTAGGGGACGCTGTCTTACAATTTAACAAACATGCGCGTTTTTTCAAAAAAATTAAATGCAATAGTATATGTAATTTTATCTGATAGTAAAGAGTAGTAAAAGCTTAAAAAGTTAGCGAAAACCACATCTTGATATATTCTTTCAAACCGAAGATATTAGCAAAATTATAATAAATACCAAAAAATAAGCCCTTAATTACCTTATTTTTACAACACGGTATCAGTAGCCCCCTTGATTATACCCATTCTAAGCTAAAAATAAGATAGAAACAGTTAGTTTATTTTAAAATCGACGATATACCAGTATTATGGTATTCTGGTATTTCGTCGATTTTAAAATAAACTAACTGTTTCTATCTTATTTTTTGTTAGAATGGGCCTAATCAAGAGGGCTACTGATACTGTATTGTAAAAATAAGGTAATTAAGGGCTTATTTTTTGGTATTTATTATAATTTTGCTAATATCTTCGGTTTGAAAGAAGGTATCAAGATGCGGTTTTCGCTGACTTTTTAAGCTTTTACTACTCTTTACTATCAGCTAAAATAACACATACTATCGTATTTAATTTTTTTGAAAAAACAAATGTTTGTTAAATTGTAAGAAAGCGCCACCTAGCGTCTACGTTCAAAACCTTATTATTATTATTTTTATGGTATAATGTAGAGTGAGAAACGCTCTTTTAAACGAGCCCTCGTTTGTTGGATTCTGATCATCCAGTCTGGAGTTATTAACATTTAAATAAAGATAGATGTAACCTTCCCCCACCACTTTATTTTAGCAGATAGGGGAAAATGGTTCTAACAAAAAAAATCCAAAATTTACTGAAGATTATGAAGCTATTATCTAGGCAAAATTCTGTACAAAATCTATTTTCTTATTTTCCATAGCAGTTGCGCCACCTAGCGGCCGTTTTACAAACTTGAAAATAATTTCCAGCAATTTCTCATAGCCCCTTTAGTTATAAATATTTTTTTCCGTAAGCCCTACGGCTAATACTTTCCGAGATACAGCCGAGCGCTATTCTTAAGCTCCGTGCACTGAATAGGTATCGGCGAGAGCGAGCGGCACGTAATTTTCAGTTTACGTTGAAATAAATGTAAGCCCGCGCACCGCATCAGCTCGGTGCGCTCGGTGCGCTCGGTGCGCTTCGAGCTATCGGCGTTACTCGCGCCATCAGGCAAAATCAGAGAATGCATGGGAGGGGGCGAATAGTCTACGCCGAGCGACTCTTTTTAGTGGAGCGGTTTTACATTAAACATGTCCGATGAATTACTAATCGAAAGTGTACGAGACCATATCATACTTAATATGCGGTTTCTTATAAAAATTTCTTACAAGCACGTAACCTATATTGTTTACTACACTCATTCATTTCATGGTCATCGCTGATGCCGTTCCAATTTTCTTTGACTTTTTTATTATATTTTAAGTTTTTAAAATCTTGGTTTTAAGTCAGTAGTGAATAAAACGAAACTTGTGTTTACATTTTGTTTAATGATTAACGTTTCAACTAATTTTAATTCGGTCTTCTTTAGAATCTGTAATATACAATACAATTTTATCACTAACAATGTGTTTAATATATATTTTTTTCTTACCACAAACGTAGAAAATGATTTATACGTATATTATAGATTCTGAAGAAAACCGAATTAAAATTGGTCGAAACGTCAATCATTAAACAAAATGTAAACACAAGTTTCGTTTTATTTACTACTGACTTAAAACAAAGATTTGAAAAACTTAAAATAAAAGCTATATATAAATGTGTGTAATGACACTTATTTAGATTAAAGAACTAAAAATAGAAGTTTTATTTGACTATTTTTCATATTTAGCTTTATTTTTAAAGAACAAATTAAACCCTTTTGAATTATACCACATTTGTTAAAATCGGTCAAGCTAAGAGTCATGTAGTATATTTTATCCCCATCTTCCACTCTATTTCACTAATTTTATGTGGTTTGTTAAGATCTAAATATATTAATGTGTGTTTGGTTAAGATCTAAATAATATTAATTTCCATCATAAAGTATAAAATATAAAAAGTTGAATAAAAATATAAATAGTAATAATACTTTATAATTTTTTGAAATGCCGAATGAATTTGACTAAATTTGAATAAACTTCTCCTCGTCTATGCTCAAATTTATGCTGGTGACGTACTCTCGACCGCCGATCGCGGCTCCAGTGCGCGGCTACAATCGACTTTCCGACCGGTCGTGTCGGTCGCGCCGCTCGCACCGCTCGCTCTCGCCGATACCTACTCAGTGCGCGCGGAACTTTAGTGGGACACCCGGTACGTTGGGAGACTATATTCTGATGAAAGTATAATCGAAATTTAGTGTGATGGAACGTAGATATATAAAGTGAATGATTTGTGGAATTTGCCAACAAGAACAATAACAATAATATTGCTGTATATTTTATTTCATTTTTTTCAAATTTATTAGGTACTACAGTTTATTTTCGGTGAAAGTACGTTATTAAAAAGTAAAACAAAATATATTTTTTTATCTCAATGACCGACCTTAAAGCTTTAAAAAAAATCGTATTTTAAGTAATAATAATATAATATAATCGTAATTTATCTCAAGCGTCCATGGCTGTGTTAAAAACACTAATTCATAATCAAGAAGCCTTGGAAAATAGATTTCATCGTCTAATGTTTTTCGTGTGAAAAACCGTGGCCGGTTAAAAGATGCCCAAATCGTATTTTTAATCATATCTCAATTTTTTTCAAATGGAACAAGGGTGACTCATTAGCATATTTGCATTTATTTAAGATTAATTTGGTACCATCGAGTCAAATTGTCGTTATGAACTGCATGTTACAATTTCAAATAAACCATATGCGAGAATGTCAAAAATTGACATACGATATGTCATTCTATTCAGAGTGTCATTTTCTATCTAATAAAGTAAAAAAAACACCGAGGGTGCCATTTAAAAATCAAAAGTTGTAGTCATTTCCGATAAAACAGGAAGTAGCCAAAAACAATTGAATACGTCAATTAATCCTAATTTATGTAACATACTAACATATCAAATAACGTTTTTTTTTATCTAAAAAAATAAAAAAATTATAGGGTAGACAACTTTTGAGACGCACCAACCTCCTCCTAGCCCAAAACCCTCTGTAGCTACGAAACAAAGCAGAATCGGGTCTATGTTAATATTGAGTATATAGAAATCTCCTCACGAGAGATAGCCATTTAGCTTTCTGAAACACCCTGTATAGTCTGTATAGTGTTCTTTTCTGTTACCTATCTAATTCTAAAGCTCTTATATATGATTCGTTAACGAATTGTGTCCAAATATCATATTCGGGAAAGAGGTAGTTTACGCATAAGAATTCCACGAATGAAGCATAACCTAAAATTATTTGTTGTAGATAAAAGAGTGTTTGTATATTTGTATAACCGTCTCTTACCTTCATTTAACCATAAGTGTGTCCACCATTCCATAGTGACTAGATTTCCAAACCACTGGTGGGCAAGTTCGTGACCTACTACTAAAGCTACATATTGTTTACTTATTGCAGACGTGTTTTGTGGATCTACCAAAAGGGCCGTCTCACTGAAAAGAATAAAACTATATAATTATCAATCATAAAAAAATAATAAATATTTTTATTTATTTATTTAGTAGTTCACAAAAATGTTTGCGAACTTTTTGTTCGCATTTTTTTGCAAATCTAGGCAATAGAACTAATTAGTAAAAATAGAAAGTAAGATTTTTTGGTGACAAAATAATTCCAACAACTTTAATGAACCCAGAAATGACACCAAGACATGTGGAAATTCTTTATCAGCCACCTGAAGGAGTTGACGTTACAGTAATTTTGTCTTTTACAAAGAGTCCAGTCTGTCCTATTTATAAATCATATTGGCCACAATCATAAATGGTTATTACACAAATTAACTAAAATAACTATGTATTAAAACAATAATATAAAATCATGACATTAATCAAAACAAATTAGCAACTAGTTAATGGCTAAAATCTCCTATTTTGTAAAAATAGGCTGGTTCTTTCAAAATAACATTGCCTAACATTTGGTTGGTTTGCAAAATAGCTGGTTAGTATTAAATAAGTAACTAATAAAAATAAATTTAATAGTAATAAGTATAATTTTTAGCTGTAACATATAAATTATTTCTATTCGTTCAATTTAAATAATGTAAACCGACTTATTTATTACACATCAAATATAATTACATGTTTTGCTTTTATTATAAATTCTTGTGAGGATTAATTTGCACGTTATTGTATATTGATTACACCCTTATTTTTTTAAAACGATATATAATTTTTTTTTATATAAAATATGATATTCCCGTGGAATATCCGGGTATATTTTATTTCGTTTCGCAACATTAGAACGGATAGAAAAAAAATCTAACTGTTAGTTTTTATAGCTATTTGTTGATCTTCTATCAAAGAATAAATAAATAATTATTAACATAATATTTTTACAATCAATTCTTCTCTATAAAAATCTTTTTTATACAGGGCGTAGGATATAAATATGTCTATAATTCGGTTATAAAAAAAATTGCAATTTTTTATATTTGAACAAAGCTGAACAAAGAAAATATTAGCAAAAACATTATTTTTTTCTACTTTTAATTAATAAAAAAGAAAATAAAAAGCAGATAGTTTTCACATGCCTTTTGAAGGATAATACAGTCTGCACATTAGGGTGCACCAAAAAAAATATATATTTTTTCTTTTTAGTTACCGTGAAAATAACGTTCAGGATAATGAAGAAAAAAATCTGGTAAAGTTTGAGCTTTTAATATTAATATTAAAGGGTGCCTCGTGGTGATTTTCTATTTCCCATTTAAATAACAATGGGAAACAATTATTTTTTCTTTGGAATTTTATTGGGCCCTAACAAATCAGCGTTTTGTAAAAATCAATACATATTCTTATAGGAAATTGAACGGTCTTCAAAAAAGGTCTCATAAGAATTTTCTTTTAATCGACTCGTTTGAAAGTTATTGAAGCTTTAACCTTCATTCACATTAAAATTCAAATCGTATATGATACCGTCCACAATTTTTTTTATATTTTATCACGAAATGGCTCTAAAACATAATATTTTATGTTTATGAGCCAATATTTCGTGATAAAATATAAAAAATTGTAGAAGTTGTTATCATATACAATTTGAACTTTAACCTTCAATATCTTTCAAACGTGTCGGTTAAATGACAATTCATGCCAGACCTTTTTTGAAGACCGTTTCATTTCCTACAAGAATAGGTATTGATTTTTACAAAATGCTGATTTGTTAGAACCAGGGTTGGGTAGGTAGAAAATTTGATATATTCTACCGTATTTTCTACACGTAGAAAATTAATTTTCTACACCAACTAATTTTCCACATTTTTTACATGTCCAGAAGCAGAAAATTAGTTTTGTATATTATAAGCTGTTTTTTGAGTTTGTATTTAATTCATAGGACTAATAACGATATCTCTAATCGTTATTTATTATTTAACAAATGGATACCAAGTAGTATGCCAAAAAAAGCTTAATTTTAAGTTCCATATTATTTTAAATAGATATGTACCTACAACGGAAGGATCCGTGACAGTGACTGTTGTGTTATTATAATTTACAGGCATATCGTATTTTCTGTCATTTTTTGGATGTCGTCTGGCGAAATCTTCCCTGATTTGTACACGCTATAGACGAAATTTACAGATATTTTTAATTCTGGGGAAGACTAGAAGAGACAAAGAAAAAGACAATGGTTCGCACACGTAAAACGCATGGAAGAAATCAAACTACCACGCGTAGCTCAGGAAGGGAAACCGGTGGTAAGAGACAGTCTGGAAGATCTCCAAAAAGAGGGAAAGACAGTTGGCAGTTCACTTCTCAAGAACATCTGAAGAGGCAATCTTACCCATCTTTACTTTTACTTTTTAAAACTAACAGATCAACTGATCTAAAATAAGCAGAATAGGCTAGTCAATCTGGAGGTTGAGGTAGAAAAAATTAGTAACCAACCGATCTCAACGGGAATGTGTAGATAATGATCACCTATTTAACCCCTCAAAAGTTCCATTCGGTCCCAGTGGGGGAAGTTCGATAAAAACCGCTGCCATCTTGGATTTGTTCGTTTTTTTCAAATATCTCCGTTTGCATAACTTTTTTGGAAAAAAACTAAAGATATGTTTTTTGTAGATAATTAAATTTAGAATATTTTACCTTCAATTATTTTTTTTTTCTAAAATAAATAGTAATAGAGATAGAGCAAGTTTTTAGTATACGTTTTATAATTTTTCCAGTTTTTTAAACCAATCAGCTATAATTTTTGCGTTAACAGTATAATGTTAATATAGACAAACCAGGTATAAATTTAAACATTAAAACAATTAAAAATAACGTTTAAATATTATTTATTAAATAAAAATATTGTTAAAAAAAATTATTATTAAATTAAAGTTATTAAATAAAATCTACTATGACGTCATCCTGAGCGTCATTTTCGTTCTCAACTAAAATACAAAAGTTTGTGCAGCTGATTCCGTACACACTTTGAAGAACATTTAAGACCCAGTTTTCTACAAGAGCAATTTTTAGAGCACGGACTCTGCAATTGCAAAAAAATAATTTTAGTAGGTCACGAGGCGCCACATCTGTTGATTGTATAGGTGTCAGATTGCCTTTTTGACCTTTCTTCCATCCATATTGCAACTTGTTACCAATCCATTCTTGAGTATAAAAAATACAACTTATCACATTTCCCTATGCCCGCTACACACGTAACGATATATCGTAGCGATTTAAAACTGCACAGATAAATCGAATACCCCTAGTGTCTCCACATGTTGCAGATATCTGCGTCGATCGACAGTTCTCTACAGAAATTCGCGCGGAAACATGTCATCGGCAATAACAGAACTTGATGAAGATGCATTCGCCTTTTAGGGCTTGATGCTATGCTTAAAGAAAAAGATGTCACGTAGAGTGTGGTGTAAAGACTGGCTTCTAAAACGGAAGTCATACTCTCATATAAATTTATTAAATAAATCATTTGATTTGATTTGCCAAAGGCAAGTTTCATTTCTATAAACTCGTCCAATTGCTTTCCACGGACATGTGCGTATTCTGAGTTTGTCTAATAGCCTCTCATAACTTGAGCGATCGTTCGGATCGATCGTTGTCGCCATCTACACGTAACGATAAAACTGCTCAAATGCAATCGACAACGGTTTATCGAATAGAAATTGCAACTGCCGCCGATCATCTGTGCAGATGAAAATATCTGCAACGACTTATCATACATACGTTCGATAAAACTGTGCAAATTGACTGTACAGGGTGAGTCAACGATAGAGTAAAGTCCATTATCTCATTTGTTTCGAGGTTAACAAAAAAATATTAAATATAAAAGTTATAGAGATGGTTAAGATACACATTTTAAAATTATTATACAGTATACAGGGTGCTTCCAAAAAGTGTGGCGAATATAACATATGTTTTTTTAAATGCAACACACTATTTTTTATTTTATTTTTAGATTCCGCGTAAAATTCCATAACTTTTTTATATATAATGTTATATACCTAAAATTAATAGTTTTTGTTATATTTAAATTTGTTTAAACAAATGTTAGATTGCAGTGGGTTAAAAAATTGTCAATGATGGCATTGATTCTGAAGTTGGACAACTAAAATTTGGTAGGAGAATTTTATAGAGATATAGAAAAAGACCTATGTAAAGATATTTTAGTTAGATGTTACAGGGTGTTCAAAATATATTTAGGAATTTCAACTACTTAAAATTAAGGAATTTCAATTTTTTTAAATGGTACACCCTATATATTATCATTTTTTCTGACAGATTTTACCAAACTCTTCAACTTTTATTAAGAATGTCATATACCTATTTTTTATTAGTTTGCGATTTATACCAATTTTTATCCATATTTTTAATACAATTGCGCTATAACATCATAGTTGCCATGACAAAAAGTAATAATTATCACAATTTCATGTCTGTTAAGCAAGTTAAGAACAAAATTTGAATTGTAGTTTAATTTGTTGTAATAAGTATAAATGGTAGAGATAATAGTTACAGATTTTCTTAAAATGAATTAGTCAATGTGATTGATATACACGAACAAGCTTAGAAAACTACATTTTTTGGTTCAGTACTATATATTATATAGCACTTTGCTAAGTACTATAAGAATAGATGTATATTATCTAGAAAACATCTTCAGTGTGTAATGGGACGGTTTCGCGGCAGTAGTAATATTGGCTTTACCAAATGAATTATAAACCAGAATTACTACGAGAAAAAACGTTACTGTATGTTGAAGAAAATTCATATATCAGTAGTATTCAGCAATTAGGTAATCTAGTATTACCCTAATCTGTGGCTATTCGCCCCGACGAAAAATCACAAAAAGTGTCATCTTTCATAATATAGAAATACACCAAGAAATTCACTACTGCGATTTAGTTTATTTGAGTAAAGTTAATTAATTTTAACTAATACCAGCAATTGTAACTAATTATGAAGCTACTTGTTAAAGGTAAGTAATAAATAGTTTTGTT